CAATGGAAAGCTAGTCCCTAATCATATACTGAAAAATCTTTATTTTGTCTGAAAATTTAACTAGAACTTTAAAGTTAGCTTTTAAAAAGCATATTTCTTTCATAGTTTGTGGCAGTATTTTCTAACTGCAGTGGTGTCATCTGTATCATCTTTCATTATTCCAGCAGGTATCTGATGCTTGTTCCGTGCTGGGCATTGTGTGAGGCTTTGGGATGTTGCAAAAGTGACATAGACATAGTGGAATTTCCTTAGTGGAGTTTGCTACCTTAGTGGAATTTCATAACCTGAGGAGGCAGAGAAACCCTGGGCAAATAGTAACACAGACATGTAATCCCACAGTGCAGTTAGGACTAGAAAGAAAAGGTCCAGAATGCTCAGAGAGTAGATGATGGGCAGTAGAAATGTCTCTAGCATGGTGGTAAGGGTAGGAAGTGCATTAGGAACATTTTTTTCCCTATAGGTTCGTAAATGAAGTTGTTTCACATGAAAGAACATCTTTCTCTAAGGTTATGTCTAAGTAAGTATAAATAATAGACGTGAACTCAAATTTCACTGAGGTTCAATACTTATTTTTTACTTCCTGGAAGAAGCTCAGAAGTTTAGACACAGGAAAGCTTCACTGAGAAGTTCTGAATTGACATAGTCCCTAGGTTTGGGTGGTGAAAAATGTTCCTCCAGCAGCCAGAGTGAACTAATATGGAGTTATCCTCATTGATCCCAGGACCTGATAGTGCCCAGCTCTTCTTTATAGAAATGGCAGTTCCTACACATTACAGCATGCTCATTCCTTTACATAGAGACATTGTTAGGAGTCCTGGCTCTGAAGTCAGACTGACACTTGGAGTAAGTTACTTAACTCCTAGAGGTCTCAGTTTCTACTCTGTAAAATGGGCTAATAACAGTATCTACTTCCAGGACTGAAGTGAACTATAAGTGAGATAATGCTTATGAAACACCTTAGAACCATTCCATCAGTCCATGTTCAATTCACATTAATTTTAAGAGGTTACTAACAAGAAGTCAGGGCAATGAAATGAATCCATGTTATCTCCAGATATAACGTAGAGGGCTGAGTTTGTGGGTCAGTTGTAAATCACTTGGCCAGCATGTCTGAGGTCCTGGGTTCAATCCCTAGCAACACCGTGTGTGGTGTGTGTGTTTGTGTGTGTCTGTGTGACTGTCTGTGTCATGGACTTTCATTTCTTTCTATAAACCATTGTTTATATTGTTTCCTTTTCTTCTATATCTTTCTTTCCTTCTTTTCTTCCTTTCCTATGTACCTATTTATACTATCTAATTGTATAAACCTTCAAGGGGGAAGGTCGCATAATATAACATTTCTTGGTGTGTTTTACATGAAAAAGGAAACAGAATCAATATGAAAATTGAATTCTGCATTCCCAATTGTTATTTATAAAATTTGCCCAGAGGGAGGAACAGAACTCTAAATATAAAACCCATGTAAAATTTTCCATTTAGGGAGCCCCAAAGTGCTTTACATCTAATGTATTGTTATGATTTGCAGATGTTATTGCTAAATTTCAGACACTAATAGTTATGGGAATACAAGCGAATGTAGCCTGTAAGCCCTCTTGGGCCCAGGGAAAGAGGGGTCTCCATGAGTGGCCGACAGAGCCCAACCCACCGATCAAAGCTGCTTCTGTGGTGGCTTCTGGCAGTGCACTTGGGAATGCCTGTTCCTCTCCCCCAAACAAGGATGTATAACATAAAGAAAAAGATGTGCCTTTGGAGTGCCCCAATGTATGAAAAATATATTCAGGGTCCTAACCCTCAGAGGGCAGAATGCTGCCTGCTCCCACAGTTCCAAAAGAACGCACTATCATCTATCATTCTCTCCCTCCACAATGGGTGGCAGCCTGCCTCTCCGGGCAAAAATAATTATTTACCATAATAACACTTGATGTTTGGGCAACACTCTATACTCAGTAATTTGTTAAATATACATAGCATCCTATGAAATTAAGGAAGATCCTGGCTAGGCTTTGTGAGGGAGAGGAGGTTTAGAGCCTCAGGTGCAGCAACAAGTGAGCAGGCACAGCTTCCAAACCTAGCTCCAGCCCTGGCCCCAGTGCAGTAAGCCCTGGGCAGCCAGTGAGAGATTTGGGTCTCTTCTCTCTCGAAAGAAAATGAGGTAGAGCTTTCCTAAACCATTCCTTCTGCTGTGTAATGGAAATAAACATTAATCTCTACATTACATATATGCATGTCTCCCTATGCTGAACATCAAGGAGAATAGCTCCATTCTCTCCTTCCAACCAGTGGGAGGAGTGGGGCAAAATGATGCCCACAAAATAATCAAAGGGAAGGGAAGGAAAGGAGGACTTGTGGCTCCACCTCCTGGAGTGCTGAGTGTCCACCATTAGCTGCTCAGGGACTTCCCCAGCTGCAGAGCTGCAGTGCCCTAGCTCACGCTCTTTCTCACAGTGGCCCAGCTCAGGACTGATCAGTGGGGAAACACAAAAGCACAGCTGTCTCAGCCCATTCTGAGACAACTCCAAAGGGACATCCTAATTCCAGAGCTCCCATGGTGACAGCTGAGGCAGTTGTTGAGTCTCCACCACAACCCTACTATTTCCCCTTCCCTATTCTAGTTCCTTCTCTTCCTTTCCATGGGTGTTTACCTCAGTCACTCCTTATGAAATACCATGTGTGCTCAACTCTGTCTCAGAGTTCACCTCCCAGGGAACCTGATACTAGAAAGTTAGAGAAACAGGCTTCCATTAGGGCCCCACTCCATGGTATTATGGTTTACATCTAGATGTCATCCGAAAGCCTCATGGGATCACAGGTGGGACTTTCAAAAGGTGACTGGATTAGGGGTTTATAGATGAGTTGTTGTTAGGAGGTAGAGGTCTGCTTTGTGGGTTTATCTCCCTCTCTGGCTTCTCTCTTCACTCTCTGCTTCCTGTCTTTCAGGCCATGATCAGCCCTTCTCTGCCATATCCCTCTGCTACATATCCTGCCTTGGAGTCAGCCACCTATGACTGAAATGAGAGCCAAAATAAACCTCTCTTTCCCTTAAGTTTCAGATATTCAAGTGTCAGATATTGTGCCTGAGCAACCAAAACCAGAAAGTGACTAAGGCACTCGACAGAGGGGTGTGGGAGTTGGGAAGACTAGTCAAATTGGGATACATAAAGTGAGAAAGAGCAAGGATGAGGTGGAGGTAAGATCAGCTAGGAGGAAAAGAGGTGAGGAGGAGACAGACCAAGATAATGGCAGCAGATAAAGAGAATCCATAAATCTAAATAAAGAAAGAAGAGATACAGGTTGGTAGCTGATTATATTCAGAAAGAGACAACTCCAAGACAAGGCTTTTGTCTATTTTTTTCAAGACATCATTTCAGCAAATTAATAAGATTATTGGGATGGAGAATTGTGATAAATTCTGTTTTAGATTTGAAAGCTGGTAAAACGTTGTCCAAGCAGACATATCTTGCAGGCACTTGGGTCAAGGTGGTAAAGGCTAATTTGGGAGCTGTGTCACATTTTCTAAAGATGGCCGGGCGTCATCTCCCATCACACATGCTCTTCCACACTGTGAAAAGGCTATGCTTTCATCAAGCAGTGGGATCTGGTTGGATCTAGTCCAGTGACTTCTTCCACCAGGGAGTATAGTAGAAACAATGCTGTGTGACTTCTGAGACTAGTTCATAAGAGGCCATGCAAATTCAGCCTGGTTCTCTCGGAATGAAGCCAGATGCTTTGTAAGAAGTCGCACTACCCTTGGAATAGCTACTGGAGAGGCCATGTGTAGGAGGTGACAGCTGGCATCAGCTGACAACTATGTGAGTTGACTAAAGCTTCAGTTAAGCTCTTAATTTTTTTAAAATTTGCTTTTGTGCAGTGCTAGAGATCAAACCCAGGACCTTGGACATGCTAGACAAGCACTGTATCACTGAGCTATGTCCTTATCAGCCTCTGCCAACACCTGACTGCAAGAACACAGGGAATTCAAGTGTGAACTACCCAGTGGAGCCCCTTGAAACTACTGCTCCACAGTTGTTTTAAGCAATAAACACTGGGATAATCTGTATATAGCAATAGTAAGGGGACCAGGGTCATTACCAGAGAAAAGAATAGGAAATTATTATTGTTGACTGCATCGTAACCTCCACCCTTCATCATAACCTCATCCTTTTGTTCTCTTCTACTGTCCCTCACCTTATCTTACCCTGTCACTATCTGCCACATACCTACCACTTAGCTGCCAGGGATCATTTCTTATTTGTTTGTCTTGTTTTGGTCCTGGGTATCAAAACCAGTTCCTCATGTATTCAAGGCAGGTGCTCCACCACTGAACTACATTCCTAGCCCCAGGATTTGTTCTTAAGTGGTTCTCAGCTAATATGATCAAATCACTCCTTTCTTCAAAACCTTTCATAGCTACAAGTGGCACACATTATACTGTGTGATGGTTAATTTTATGTGTCAACTTGTCTAAGCCACACCATGCCCAGACATTTGATGAAACATTCTGAACTGGGAGTAGAGAGCCACACCTGTAATCCCAGCCCTGGGAGAGGTGAAGCAGGAGCATCAGCAAATTTGAGCTCAGCCTAAGCAATTTTGCAAGACCCTACCTCACAATAAATAATAAAAAAGGGGGGCGCTGGAGATGTAGCTCAGCATGAAGGCCATGGGTTCAATTCCCAGTATGGAGGGCTGAGGGGCTCATTATTTGGATATTATCTGTGAGGGTATTTCTGGATGAGAGAAATATTTGAATCTATAGATTGAGTACAGAAGATTAACTTTCTCCAAAGTGTGTGGTCCCTATCTAATCCATTAAAGACCTAAGCAGAACAAGTGGGTGGCACACGCCTGTAATCCCAGCACTCGGGAAGCTGAGGCAAGAGGATCACTGTGAGTTCAAGAACAGCCTGGGCTACATAGCGAGTTCCAGGTCAGTCTCAACTACCTAGTGAGACCCTGTCTCAACCCCCCCGCCTCCAAAAAAGGGAAATCCTCTTACCTACCTGCTTGAGCTGAACACAGGGCTCTTCCTGCTTTGAGACTCAAACTAAAACACTAGTGCTTCTTGGGTTATAAGCCTGCCAGCTTTCAGAGTAGAAATAACACCGACTTTCCGGGATCTCAAGTTTGTAGACCACAGGTCTTGGGATCTTTCAACCTCCACCGGGAGCATGGTATATAACCTGTAAAATAAATCATATACATATATATGTGGCACATTGGTTATTTTTCTTTGGAGAAGCCTAATGCAGGTTGCGCCCAGAAACTTGCTCTTAAAACAAGATCCCTAGGTGATTTTTTTTTTTTTTTTTCTGGTGGTACCAGGGATCGAACTCCGAACCTTGCATTTGCAAGGCAGGCAGCAGAACCACTGAGCCAAATCCCTGGCCTCTATCCCTAGGTGATTTTGACTTGGATTCTGACACTGGTGGGGAAACCTTGACCTACAGGATTCATTCCTTCACAACACTTTTTTGTTAAACATAAAAATCTTACCGCCTCTCTCCAGAGGACAATGGCTTCATTACAGAACTTCCGTAGTGTCTATATTTATCTACCAGCTTTCCTAGTTTGAGTTTTAATTTCTATAATCTATATTATAAAAATTTCTCATTCTTGATATGTTAGTGTATAAAATTAGATCTATAAATTAATATTTTATGTAACACGGTTTTAAATATGAATGTACATAAAATTTATAAGTTAAATAGTAACAGTGGGAAAAATACTCCAAATAAAGATCACTGCCCTTCTGTGCTCACAGAGACTCTAATATTCTACCCTACTGTGTTGAATCCCACTACTTTAGGCAGCAAGGTCTCCCTGAAGATTCTCAATTTGTGCTATTCTGCCTGCCCAGAAGACCTTTTGTTCCTTTAATATTTATTAAAGATGTAGCATGTGCCAGCTACAGTGTTTTGCAATGTATCCCATCCTCTGTAGAAAAGTAATGACATAGAGACCACCAGAAGGACAAAGGACAAACTCCTGGGTCCATAATCTATTACTCATTAAAAGCATGATTTGTGTTTTCTTCTGAGACAATGACTTTGAAAAGTTTTTGCTAAAATCCATGACTCTGCTCAGACCTATGAATGGCCAAAAATAACTGTTATGGCTGTGTCTAGATGTCTCCCATGTGGTCATAGGAGATGCTTTCCAGAGGTGGCTGGATCTAGATTGTGTGGTGCTGGGATCAAGAGTGTAATTACTAAATCAGTCCACTGATTGGTTTGGCATAGTTCTGGTTAGTATTAAGGGTGTGCTATACTTGCTCTAGAGTGAATAGCTTGCATAAAATAAGGGGCAAGAGGGTTAATGTGCCCTTGCCTGCCTGCTTGCTATGGACTGTTGCTCCTCTGTGATGCCCCTCTGCCATGCCACCCTGCCTTGGAGATAGCCGATTATGGACCGGAACCTCTACAAACTGTGAGCCAAAGTAAACCTTTTCTCTTTTAAGTTTGGGCATTGGGTATTTTATCTCAGCAACAAGAAAGGTAACTAATACTAAAAGTAGAAAAGAGTTTGACTTTTCTTCTTATAAAACTCTGGATCAAATTCTTCTCAGGTCTGCATTGAGGGAGGTTCATTTGGGGAGTGTCTGTCTAGTTAGCAGAGCAAAAGTTATTAGTTTTAAATTTACCTAGCCTGTCTTATACACCTTCAAGATGTAAGACACCAAGACAAGAGTAACTGATTTTCAAGATTCACAGAGACATCTGATTACTGGCTTTTGCAAGGTCTAGTGCCAACCCTTCCCCCTTAGATTGATGTGTAAAAATCTTGTCACTGTCCTGAACTGGTGGTCACCCGGGTCTCTGAAAAAGCAGAGCTTCACATGATTCAAGCGTTCACAAAAGCAATCATCTCATGGGAAAGTAACTGTCTCCAACTCATAAGGATTTCTTCATAGCTGCAAAACCAGGACTGAGATAATAATCACCCCTGCACCCTATAGAAATGGTCACTCCTCCTGTTTGTGGCCAGTCTGGTCCTCTTCAACATGTGCCTCTTCCAGCCACTACCAAAGCTGGGAGTCCTTTTCCTATCTTCTCTCTCACTTTCCAATTAAAGCTTTTGCTTGTAAACTTATATTGTTGATTAGTTTTAATTTCCAGTTTTACTAAAGCAAGGACCAACATTTCCCGGTGACAGTAATTGCTTCTTTCTCTAAGGGCCACAAAGCCTGAGTTCCATTTCTATCCTCACCTTATCACTCCACGATATGGTTAGCTGTACCCTCAGCTAGGCTACGCAGCTTTCCGGGTCAGGGGACACAGCTTATTCATATTTGTTTCTCAGTAACTGGCATAGTGCCCAAGACCCAGTAAGAACTCAATTAATGTTGATGAATGAGTTAATAAACAAGTGATGATAGCCCAGTATCTGGCACATCACAGAAGACTGATTGAAATGAAATTAAACTGAAAGTGCAGGTCAAAGAATCAAAGGCAGAGGGAATTGCAAGGGGGAGGGGTTGATGAACACTGTCAAAAAGCCAGATATGGTGGCACACACCTATAATCCCAGTGCTCTGCAAGGTTGAGACAGGAGGATTTCAAGTTCAAACCCAGCCTGAGTCACTTAATGAGACAGTCTCAAAAGAAAAATAAAAAGGACTCAATATAAAGTCCCTGGGTTTAAACCCGGGTTTAGAGGCAAAGGGGGCTGGGAACACACAGACACAGCAAGTTGGATTTGACTAACAGGTAGTTAATGTTAAATCCTAGAACAAACAGCAATTGACAAAACGTTTATCACAAAGCCAACAAGTAAAAATCAGTATTTACTTATTCTTAGAGTATTTGTGGCAACTCTTAAAATCAAGTTACTGGGTAAATGTCTTTGAGCCCTGCTGGTTTATTATGCCACAGTCTTCACTACCTAGGCAGGTAAAATTCCCATACCTTAGCTTACAAAGATTAAAGATCTCCCATTCTTGAATTTTAGATGCATCCATAGAATTTTATTTCTATGAAAATGTGGGACCATTAGCTAAGGGGTTGTCACCCATTACCTCCTCCCACCATTCATTCACTGAGCAAGTATTTACAATGCTACTACCCAGTGTTAAGTGGATCTATTCTTCAGCCAATGGTGTAGCTTCTATTTGTAGAGCTTGTTTGTGCTTGTGGCTACATTTTAAAAATATTAAGTCATAGGCTTGCCTAGATTCCCAGGGCAGCTGAACTCCTGGAAATCCTCCTAGAAAAAAAAAAATTTAGAATTTTTCCTGCCATTTGCTGCTTCCAGAGACTGCACTAGCACGGGCATTCAGGTTACCTTCCTTGAGTAGAAATGCTGCCCACGACATGTCCTGGGGTGCCCTGCTTATATTCTGTGGTCAAGGAAGTTGATAGTCCCTTCACCACAGGGTTTGCCAGAGTCTTCCATATGCAAAACTGCATGAGGGTAGGTGGAGGATTGGATGAGATGGTAAAAGTATTTTCTAAGCTTATTTTTCCCCTTAGTTCATTTGATATTGGGAAATGAGGAAGCGGGTCACATGGCATGTTTACATGGAAAGAACAAAGGCCTTTTTTAGGAAGGGATGGATCTGGAGGTCTTGGTCACGCAGTGGGATGACTGATATCAATTTAGACTTTATTGGACCAGGTGATGCCAATTTTCTTATCCTCTGAGTAAGTAGGTAGGCCTGGCCATTCCACCTTATCTTGAGGTCTGACCTTCAGCAGATGTGCCTCCAGCCACAGTTGTAATGTGTCCTCATCTGCTGCTCTGACTCTCTTGCAGGCCCAGCTCTGTTGGACTGCCTGTAATACTGCTGCCTAACTTAGCTGTTTTAAAGAACCTGAAGCTGATATCTGCCATGAGTAGGAGTTCACCTAGTGAGGATTCACCTTGAAGTGGGATAAGTTCAGTGACTATGTCAGACCAAAAGGCCAGTGGGAAGACAGACAGAAACATGAAGCTAGAATGGTAGTGTTACTGGCCACTTAGGTCCATATACTCAGGTTCCTTTGCTCACTGCTGACCAAATCAAGGAGGCCATTTATTTTAGCAAAAAGGAAAAAGGATTTGCAGACATTCCTCTTTAACAACCTAGTTCTGTTCCTGTGACAATGATCTGGCCAGTAAGTGAGGAGTTCTATATAGTACAGTATGTACATTACAATATTCATAACAAAGAAATGGTCAAAGAAAATTCCAACTTGATGATTTTGCTTTTATTTGCATGACCCTTATGTGTAGTACTGTAGTGTATACCAACATAAAACTACAGTGCTGTACTGGACAGTACAATCAGCAAAATTTATAATATGGTATAAACAAGGTATACTGTACAAAAATACATTGAGGCTGAATAAACTAGATGTATAGAACTGCACAGAAAATGGGTAATAAGTGTGAGCAGCAGGTCCTAAGTTCAAACAGCATGCCTTGGTTATTAAATGAGGAATATCTGTATTCAAAGATCGCTCCAAGGAGATGAAGGGGCCATATTTGCCTCAAATCACTATGTCACTATGTACAAGTGAGTTAATGTTCTAACTTTTAAAGTTCCATTTTGCTGTGCCAGTTACAGTAGGGCCACACCACATGGGGTCTTACATGCCACGCTTAGAATTCCTTTTGTTATCTGAGGAGCAATGGAATCCATTAGATTTGTGTTTCTGAAAGATCATTCTAACTGCTGAACAGAGGGCTGATGGGAGGTAGGTCCAGGGAGCAATGCATTTAGAAGCCTGCTGAAGTAGTTCAGGATGATGGTCACTTGGCCCAAGATGACAGTAATGTAACCAAATTCTCTCTCTCCCTCTGGGCTCTTGTCCTGAACACAACAAAATATGAAACCCACAGACACAGCGGTGCAGAATGAACCAAATACAGTTTATTGGAACAAAGAAGAGCTCTCGATAGCCAAGAGGGACTCCAAGGGAGGACACCAAGGGGACACCCAGGTTTAGGAGTTTATATGCACTTTGTGGGGCTGTTTTAGCGGGCATATGAAAATAAGACAATGAAACAATAAGGCTGCCACTTTTAGCTAGGATTCTGATGTCAACAGGAGTAGACTTTTCCTTGGAACCCAACTTCCCAAGGCTTATCTCAGTTTACCTGGGCCCTTGTACTTTGAAACAATGTGGTTGCCATTTTTGGCTAGGCCTTGGACTTTAGGGGAACAGACTTCCCCTGTCCTCTAGCTTCCTGGACCAGACCT